TTCTGATAGGCTCTAAGGTAAGAATAAAATATTTATTTAATTAGTAAATAAAGTATTTTGTGCAATATAGTAAAAATATTTCAGCAATTTTTGCTCTGTCTCATTAATATTTCTGTATCCGTTGCTGCTCAGGTACATCCTAATGTGGTTGTCACTGACAGAGAGTTGGGCTTAATGACTCCTATTAGGAGGAACTTTTCCCAGTCTGCTCACTTACTCTGCACGTGGCACATCAACAAGGATGTGGAAGACAGAGTCTACATGCTGCTTGGAAAAAACAAAAAATTAGCTCAGAGTTTCTTGCGCGGTAGGTGGAAGGCGATTGCCGATGCCAGTACGGTTGATGAGTACGACACTGTCGTAGCTCAATTACGTGTCAAATACCGGAATCATTCAGAAGTGTTACAATATATCGAGCAGACATGGTTAGTCCATAAGGAGAAGTTTGTAAAAGCTTGGACTAACTGGGTAACACATTTTGGCAACACAACTTCATGTAGGGTGGAGAGTGCACACTCTGTGTTGAAGCGGTGGCTTCACACGTCGACCGGCGCGCTCGATACAGTGTGGCCGAAGATTGATGCGGAGATCAAGTCTCTGAGAGCCCTGATTCTCTCTCTGAGAGCTTCGATTTTCTGGTCATTTTCTCCGATCATTACCCGATTTCTATACCTTCCTTCATTCCCATTTCATCTGTTGTGGTTTCTCGCTTTATCCGCTCCCCTTTCGACCTTTATTTTCCCATCCCCCTTTGTCAATCGATCTAGGGTTTCTCTGGTTTTGATTCTCATGGACCGAACCCAATCCTTAGCTTGCGATGATGAACTCTCCGATCGACTCAAGATCTTCTCACTATCTGAAAGAGAAGGCATCGTCTACGACATTGCCCAAGACGATATCAAACTAAGTGATGATGAGTGCCAGAGGAGTCTTTTTGGCAAGGTCATTGGAGATAGGCCGACTAGTTGGATAGGGGTCAAAAGAACTATGTCTCAAATATGGAAGCTTAGTCATCCCATGGAGGTTAAGGAATTGAGTCCCAACTATTTTCAGTTCATATTTCAGAGTAGGGAGGACATGAAGAAGGTATCTTATGGAACAAACTGGAGCTTTGAGAATCAATACATAATTCTCAAAGAATGGACAACAAATATTAGCAGCAATCATCCCAGCTTCAAGGAACTTGACCTGTGGGTTCAAATCCAGGACATTCCACTAAACTAGCTGAGTACGGAAGTTGGATTAAAGATAGGGCAGGCATTTAAAGAGCTAAAAAATGTAGTCATAGCTACAACAGGCAACCATAGAGGCAAGATTCTGAGGCTTCTGGTCACGTTGGATGTAGATGAGCC